GATAGAATTAATTAGAAGATGTTTCCTAATTGAAGATGATATTTTTGGGGGCTGATTTGGAGGGGGTTAATTAGATAATATTTCCTAACTGAAGAGGGCTGATTTGGGTGCCAATTTATAGGGGATTAATTAGAAATTGTTTCCTAATTGAAGAAGATAGATTTGAGGGCTGATTTGGGTGAGAAATAATTAAGGAAATATGACCGATTTGGGAGTAAATTAGGGGAGGACTTTTTTGGTATTTTACTGTTTATTGTTTGCTTTAATGATTTACCCTGGGGTTAGGATATGTTATTTGTTTGTTAAATTTAATTTGTTCTTATGTTGTGAGGGCTCTAGCCGCCAGCTAGAGATTTGGGAGAGCCGGAGCTTCCTCTCTAATTTACCCCCGGGTTCTCCAATAGTGTTGCTTCTTTGATGATCTATTGTATCTTGTATTGTTCTTTTTCATATTTTCTAAAATAAAAAGATTTTTGGTGCATTCTTCTTCCCAATTTCTCTTATGGTTCATTGATTTGGTTGAATGTTTTTCTACTTCGTATCAAATACACCTCGCTATATAGGAATTCTCAAGTAAAAGTGGATGTGGTAGGTTTAGTGGTGGGTAGGTGAGTAATAACCTGTATTATTCTTGCATTTCTTTGCAAAAAATAAACTGCCACTACATATGAGTCTAAAACCGAGCAGTGCATAGGTTATCCACTAGTGGAGATTAGGTCATCTATTTGAGGATGCCTATCGATGAAGGAGTTTGGTTTTTTTCTTTATGCCTTGTGATCATCCTTGCATTCTATCTCCGAGGTTCTTTGAATCTTGGAAGAAATCACCCTTTAACCCTTTGATGGGTGGTGGTGGGTGGGATCTTAGGGGAAAAGTTGATGGTTTACTCATGAGTGCCTTTTGTGTTATGTCGATAGTTGGAAATGTTGTTGAAAGCTAGGATTGATGCTTGGAAATGGTGGTTTAGAGGTGGGTAGGTGAGGGATTAATTTTTGTGGATTTATAAGGATAGGAGGGCTCGGAATGTTGGTGAAAGCTAGGATTGATGTTTGGGAAGGGTGGTTGAGTGGTGGGTAGGTGAGAGATTAATTTTTGTGGATTTAGGCTTCGTTTGGGACGGCTTTTTTACTGTTTTCTAAAACGGAGTTTTAGTATAAAATTTTTTATTTTTGTACTAAAACTCCGTTTTAGAAAGCAATAAAAAAGCCGTCCCAAACAAAGCCTTATAAGGACAGGTGGGCTCTAGTTTGGAGGGGAAGAGGGCTTGGCCAATAATTTTTTGAAAAGATTCTATGTTTGATAATGTTATGAGAGCGGATAATGAGTTGATTGAGGTTTGTTAGGGTTTTGAATAGTGTATAGAAATTGCTTTTTGGTTTGTGGGAGAGGGAGGCTAATAGTTGGTGGACTCATGGTTTGGTATAGTAATGACGGCTGTCACTTGGGGAATATTTGAGGTGTCTACTAAAGTTGATGTAGGCAAAAGGGGGGCCCTTCCCTTGGTCTCTTCGGTTTACCCTCTTGGTTCGGCTCCCCTGCTTGCTAGTTCCGGTCCCTATGCTGCCCCTTCAGATCTTCCCTGGTGCTGTTTCTTGTGAGCTGTTCCTTCTCTCTTTGCTGGGTGTTGCTTCCAGTTCCTGTGCTGCCTTTTTGGCTGCTTTCCCGTGGCTGCTTTACCTGGTTTCTGTGTTGCCTTTTGGCTGCTGTTTTAGCTCCCTTTATCTGCTGTTTCAGCTCCCTAAACTGCCTTTTTGTATGGCTGTTTGGGTGCTAATCTGGAATGACTTTTGGCCTTCCATTTACTTGAATTTAATGGGTTTAAATGAGGGAATTTTGGGCTGTTTGGCTGCCCTTTTTCTCCTATAAATATAACGTGTCTTGTGAATAAAAAAAGAATGTTATGATGAAGTAATTTTTGGATTACCAAAGAAAAACCTGCGGGTTTCCTTGGAAAGGCTTGCGAGCTTGTTCCACCTCTTCTACTCCTCTTCTAGGAAAGCTTGCGAGCTTGTCCTCTTTCGTCTCGGCCTCTTATCTATTTCTTCTTTCCGCATGTGACCACTCCAATTGTCTCATTCTTCTCAATCCAAGAAAGCAAGTTTAGGTGTTGTTTGTGTTCATGTTTGTAAGTGTTAAAAGTTGTAAGTGTCCTTTTTATATGTTAGAAAGTTTTTTTTTTTGTTATTTCAAGAGTGTCTTAGTATCTTTTCTTTATCCTAGGAAGGTGTTTTGTTTCTGCTTGCAAAAATTTGGGTCTTTTCCAAATTTTTGCTTGCATCAAAAAGGAGGGGAGAGAGGGGGGAAGCTGCTAGGTTTGTAGGAGAGGGGTTGATTGAAATGGAAAAGAGTAAAATTGGTGCAGGAGATAAGCAGATAACTCACCTTAAGTCCTCTAAGATGAAGCCACCAAATTATCACCACAATTGCAACCAAATAATCAGAATTCTCATTCATTCACTCCGTGATTGAAAGTTATATTGGGGATACATAAATAGAGGTTAAAATAAAATACATGCAATATTCATGAAGGTTGTCAGGTCCCAAGTCCTGGATGAGAAAAGTGGAGGGTTGCGTTAGGAAGTCGACAGCCAGCGTAAAACTTGTCGAACAATAATGACATGAATCCTTTAAGAAATTGTGTTAATGCTATGATGTTGTTGTTGTTGTTGTTGTATTCATGAAGGTTGTCAGCTAGTTCAAATAAGAAAGGAGATGGTTCTAAATTGTATCTTCAATTTCTTCCATGGGTCGATTGACGAAGCACTTTTGGAATGGGATTTGACTTGATTTTCATCACATTTTATCTATACAAGGGGTGGGGAGAAGGGTTGGAGATAAGTGGAGTGACTCTTAATTTGGAGCACATGTTGGTGATCCATCAAAAAGGGCTCACCAAGTTTGATGAAGAATCTAGTGCTTTGAGTTTTGAAATGTTGTTGACGAAGATGATCTTCATGCTTGATGTATTGCTCTTGTTAGTGATATGATTATTAATTTGTGTGCATGAGATTTTACTGCATTTGTCATGCCATTTTGGTGATAAATCTAATACTCATTTTTAGGAAAGTTGGAATGACATTTATGGACAACACCTTAAAACCACAACCAATCATGCTAGACGCCTCTAAGCTATCCAATAATCTTGGTGTGGCCAACGCTCTTCCAATGAAAATAATCCAAGTTATTATCATGAAAAACTGTCTCTTTGGCATTCTACTACCCTATTCTTTATAATATTGCAATGCATGAGGTCATAATTCATATATGTATACACATTTTGATATGAGTGGGCCCTAGGGTTGAATGATTGTAGTTATCTAACCTTTTTGATGTGATAAAAGAGCTGGAATGAGGATGAAAGACTCTTATGGTGGCGATGATTGTAGAAGTGCTCTGGTGGAGGTGGAATTATGGGAGGCCAAAAGGGAATCTTGAATGTGAATTAATTTGGTGCTTTGCGGTAGAAAAAAGGCTCGACGAAGTCTTGTTTGGGGTGAGTGTTGGCCTTTGTTGAAGATGTTGGAATGAGGGTGGCTGTGGAGCATAAGTGGTGGAACCCAAGAACTTCTCTATTAGTTGGTGATTTATATAAAGAGTGGGATGATGATTAAACCTCTATTGTGGGAGATTTGGGAAGAGGTGAATATATGATGATGTGATCTATAATTTGATGGGTGGAGTTAACAGGAGATGAGACTTGTGGAGGACATTTGGTGAAACCAGGTTATGTATTTACTTAGAAAAAACATAAGGTAGTATTATGAGGATTAATTTGCGGAGATGAAAGGGAAGTGATTGCTAGAGATGGAGGTGAATATGTCCATATAATTGGACTAGCAAAACAAGACAACACTAGAAAACTAAATAACAATTAATCATCAACACGAAAGGACAATACATACAAAGACACAATGATTCATCCACCAAGCCGCATCCACAAGAGGATATACTCTTTCTTTCAGTCTTAATTCATCCAAAAGCTGTCTCTTATAAAGGCTTACATCTTTTTTAAGAATTATGACGTGATTAAAAAAAAGAAAAGATTTATCACATGGTAGTAAATATAATCCAAAGGCGGAGAGAGAGTTGTTGGTGGTTAAAACCAAGAGGAGATGTTTGTTCCTTAATTTTAGGAGCATGCTACTTGATTTTTGGCCGATGTTGGTAGTTTCTTGGAACACTTCTAACATGTGTTTGACCCTCCGTTGCACATCCCTTGGCATGGGGAAATCATTCGGTACGTGCTCCTTCAAGCGGGATCATCCCGGATGGCCCAAGGATGGCCCTTTCATTTGTCTTTTTTAGCTGAATCTTCTTTGCATAGCCCGTGCGCACACAAACTTTGACACATGCTCACTCCTTTTAATGCAATGATAATGTCCACCCTAATATCATCCTAATTACTTCTTGAGTTCACATATTACCATCATGCTATAAAAATTTAAATTACATAATATTAGATATGGTAATAAATACATAAATGCTGAAATTAATAAAAAGTCAATGTAAATATCATTTTAGGAGCTCTATTTGATATGAATTCTTTTAATGTACTATATCACATTTTAATATATTAATATTAATAATATATATGTTGAAATGAACAAAAATCAAGCTGGCTCTAAGTTATGCTCATCTTATTCAGCAATCATGCTGATAAATGGGGTTCCGGCTTTCGGTTTCTGAGTCAACTCGCAGTACTTCAGTGATCCTCTGCACTCAATGAAATACCTGTAAACTTGTAAATGAGAGCATGGTATGTAGATATTTTTGCTCTTGCCCAGTGGTAACCAGTGAGAAGCTGACATTTTATTTATAAGGTAAACTTAGAAAAGTAGCCGCCTTTACAGAATATCATGATAAGAAAGAGGGAATTAGAAATATGCAACTCCAAGTAGTCATTATTTATTCTAGATATTTCATCATAACTAGTTCTTGGATCTACTTTAGATTTTTTTTAAACATCTTTTTTTTTTTTATTCTTCTTTTGTTCTTTGCAGATCCCTTGTGAACATGCTTTTTGTTTAGCTTGTGCTCGGAGTGATCCTAGCTGTTACCTGTAAGCTTTCTTTCACTTTTCCTTCTTAGATATCGAACTCAAAGCTACACCTGGTCTATCTTGCAATGAGCATTTTAGATGCTTGAGAAGCTTTTGGGAAGCTAATTTCATTCCTTTGTTGATAAATTGTTATGGCGTTCCATTACGTAAGCTACACTTAATAGTACAATGCCTTTTCTTTTTTTATGCAGCTATTTGTTATCAATTAAGATCTCCCTCTAAAACAAGATAAGGATAGAACGTTGAACTGACATTGTGTAAATAAACTTTCTTATTTTATTATTTCTTAAACCTTTTAATATCTAAAGCCCTCAGTCTTAGTTATATTTATAATTCTTGTTTATATTTGTAATTCTGACTTGATTTTGTCTAGGGGTGTCAATTCGGGTCAACGGTCAAGTTTGGGTCCAACCCGAGTTGATCCGGGCATAAACGAGTTAATCCGAACCCGACCCATTTAGCTAAATGGGTCAGGATTTCCAACTCAGACTCGACCCATGCGGATTATCGGGTTGACCCGACCAACCCAACCCGCGAACCCGTCTGCCTTCGTTCTACGAACGCTGTTTGCCGAACCTAATGTAGACTGAGTCAGAGAGTCAGAGTAAGCTCAGTGAGGCTGCAGGTGAGGCGGACGCGAGGTTCGAGTGCTCGACCAGTCGACTTGGTAGGTCGAAGTTGTGCATGCAAGGTAGGACTGTCAGGCGCAATTCGATCCAAGTGCAACTAGGCAGCAAGGTAGGAGTTGGGGATGGAGCTGAGCACTGTGAGGGCCGTGAGGCAAGCCTCGACCCTAACTTACGCAAGCGCTGGGGCGCAGTTTCGTGCGGTGGGCGACTTTGCTAGGATCGCTAGGTCATCATGTGGGATCCGGGTTAGCCGAGTCAACATCGGGTTTTTGGGTCAACCTGAACCTGTCCCGTTTTTCAGGCGAGTAAAAAATCCAAACCTGAACCGACCCATTTTTCAAACGGGTTGACCCGAACCCGAATTTTTCTAGGTTGGGTTTCGGGTCATGTCAACTTTTGACACCCCTAATTTTGTCTATATATGAACTTTCATATTTAATTATTTTTTAAGAATTCTTAATCTCTACAATCTTCGATGCTAGTTATATTGTAATTCTGATTGGATTTTGGCCATGCCATATAAGATTTGTAAACTTTAAATTGTACTGTTTCTTGCCTTGTTGATAGACACATATCATTAGGAGCTTACTAGGACATCGAAATAGGTTAAAACTTGTACTGGAGTTGACATAAAGTAAAAGCAGAAAAGAATTTTGTTGCCGGTCCTTTATGTACCTTTAAGGTCTGTTTTGTTTACACATTTTCTTTGTCTCTCCTGTTAATTATATCTACTCATCTTTATAGAAAATCTTTCTTCTCTTTACTGCAAGCCCGCATTTCCTAAATCTATTTTCTACTATCTATTCGACAGTGGTTTCTATTTCCATCCCCTTTTCAATAAAAATATTTAACAATTTATGGTGTCCTTGATAGCGACCCATTGTAAAATTCATTAAAATTTTATGATACATGTATTGTGTGTATTTAATGTGCATGAGCTTTCCCCACAAATGTATTGCTACATTGGTTGGTCATCCAATTAGGAAACCCTTGAAGAAAGTAATGATTCAAAATACAGTTGCTATGCCAAAACTGCTTTAAAATGTTCAATTGGATCAACCTAATGGATACATAAAGAATATGAAAACAAAATAAGTTTTCTCGAAGTAAAATCCTCACATTGCAATACTAATGGTATTAGTTTGACATTTCATGAGTTATATGATGAAACAACTATAATAAAGATATTCTTGAAATAGCATATTTTCACTGTAGTGTTTGTAAGGATCCACCAAAGCTAGGGCCTCTCTTACTTCCGTTAATACTAATAATAGTAATGAGGTATGAGCTAGATCAAAATTATTCATGATGATTAATAAGTATCAAGTAATATGAATTTTTGCAATTTTATTTTTAGCAAGCATTAATTTAAAATTCTCTTTATTTCTTAATTCAATTTAGCTATTAACAACTTCTTAGTTGTTGACATTGAGATCCACAATGCATAAATGGTCCTATCGCTGTCTTATCAAACTTAATTTTAAGGGTCATTTTGCTTTGACTCAAAGCTGCCTTGCTTCAACTTGAAATCAGTTTGATTCATATAAATATAGGCATTTATTTGTGTGTTCACTCATATATATCTACCAACCCACGTCTCGTAATTGCCGCTCATTTTGCTCATAACTCTCTAATCCGTTCGGCCTTAGATAGACGAATGCAACTCCAACCCCGCACAAAAGAATGAGAGTTCCCACCATCTTAAGCTTCCCCCCGCAATCCGCTTGCCCATACACTCATCTCGTCTAACACCCGCACTCGGGACTCCAGCATCCCGTTCTGCCTCATCCAAGCCCACAACTTCACCCACGATCAGCCTGTCCTATGCACACGTCCGGTCAGCACCAACTCTCCCACGACCCTGCTCGATCTGCAGCTTCACCCGCAAGTTGTCCATCACGTGCATGCGCTTGATCTACGCCAGAGCTCCTACGACCTCGTCCGATCTGCACCCGTGCCCACTATTGACCTTCATACCACAACAAGAAAAAATAGGCTTGAATCATTACCTGATGAAGCCCATCCCAAATCCTTGCTGAAATTATGTGTCGAATAATGCTGAGACCCCTGCAAAACGGCGCCGAAGTCAAATGCTCATTCCCGCGTGCAAAGATCCTGCTCTCGTTCGCGTCCTTAAAATGGAGGAATCGAGGCATCTGGTCTTTCGCTTCTCCCTCACACACGAAAAATTCCTTTCTTCCTCCACTTGAGTCGCAAGCATGAAATCCCCTCTCCTGTGTCAATCTCCACATCCGGACCTCTTGACCCAAACTTCCTCTGCCCGATCCCCTCTCAACCAAACACCAGCATAGCACCTCACTCCCTGTTCGAACGCCTAGCCGCAAGCCAAACTCGTTCTGACGTACAAAGCGGCCAAACCCCTTTCCAGTAAATGCACCTGGCCGGCTCCTATAGCTTATATTTGCAACACCTCAAGAGCTCGATCCCTACCTCCATATCCCACTTCCTTTCTATTTGAATATGACCAAAGCCGGCCGTCTTCATCTGATCGAACTCCAGTTGACGACCAAAGCCCCTACTATAGCCGACCTCTTCAAGCTGAGACCTCCACAATAGTAGTAGCAGCCATATCTCTCGACAATTCACACCAGCGCTTGTACCGATCCACCCAAATCCCGGGCCCTCACTTGTTTCCAACCCCAGCCGCAAGCCTATAGCCCAATCTCCTCCCAAGCCCAATGTCCCTCACAGCACCGAGCTGTAGAGCCTCTTAGCTGTTTCGTCCCTCCAGCCAGATCTCTCCATTCAACCTGCTTTAGCAGTAATTCATGATCCCTTTAACACCTCCAATCGAACATATTCCAAGCCTCAGTCTTCCGTTTTCCCTATAGTGAATCCTTCCCCTTCATTTCATCCACTCCAAAAGCCCACATATATAGACCTG